GTTGTAGCACTATATTTTTCCCAGAATATTATGGGGGTACAAATGTTTGGTTAACTCAGTTGCTTTTATGTGGTTTGAATTGAAGTTATAAGCATGCCCCTCACTGGGACAGTGTGAATTTACCTGTCCTCTCTACCTGTAAGGACAAGTGGTGTTTGTTTTCATTCTTGCAAAACTTCTCTTAGAAGAATGGCCTCCAGTTCCATCCAAGTTGTTGCAAAAGATATTAGCTCACCTTTTCTTTTTGTAATGGCTCAGTAGAACTCCATGGGATTGTAGCACTATTATCATGAACACTATTTTGAAAAAATATCTGATGATCTGAGAGGTGAAAATGACATCTATTATTTTAAATTTTCATATATGTTTGTAAGTTAGGTTGACTGTAAAAAATTGACTATAACAGAGGCTTGTGGTTACTTCAGTGGCCATATGACAGGCTGTTAAAGGTGCATCTCCTTAGGATCCTACTTCAGCACCACCTTCTACTATCTGTGTGTCCTTGGTCATTTACCACAGTGTCCTTGCTGGTGAAATACGGATAATATCAAAGCTCACTTTGTAAAGCATTGCACGAGTTAAAATGAGGTAATAAAAAGTGCTTGTAATATGCTTGGTGCTGTGTCACCGTGATTGTTTGTTTTCATATTTCTTCTCTAATTGAATATTGAGTATTCATGTTTGATTGGTTCTGTTGTTTTAAATGTTTACAAGATTTACATGTGCTATATTTGTTACAAATATTTTCTCCATTTTCTCTTTTTGCCTTTTAACTTAATTATACATACCATATATTGTTTTGAATCTCAAAGGTTTTAGTTGTGAGTAAGCAGTTTCTCTTAATGTTTCTTCCAATTGTTTTAAAATATGGGGATTATGGCTGTGATTGCATTGACTGTGGAGATCAGTGTGAGTAAACGGACATCTTAACAATGTCGAGTCTTTTGGTACAACACGGACTTTTTGCCTGGCAGTGGACTTGGCTCTTTCGTACAGGAGTGTTACTGAAATGATGCCTGTGGAGTGCTTAGCATGTATAATCTTCTGTTCTGTGGTGTAAATATTTATGCAATAGAACATTTCAAAACTGTTAAGAATAAGTATAGGGCGGCAAAGGAGTGGGGCACTGGCTCCATATATTGGAGGTGGAGGGTTCAAACCCGGCCCTGGACAAAGAAAAAAGAAAAAAAAAAAAGGTATAAATGTCTTAACCCAACAAATAAGTACAGGCTGATGGTTATGTTAATCAGTTTGATGTAAGCATTCTGCATTGTTTATCAAATCAGCACATTGTTCCCCATAAATTCATTAATGTATAGTTATGATTCAATAAAGAAAAAATGTACTCAGAAAAAAATTAAACAAAAATAAAAACACTTTAATTATTTTATGTAACCTAAAATAGATAATAAAATCATCTGAGGTTAAAAAAAATATTATTGGTAACTTTAATACTCACAGAGCCATATCAAGTGCTGTCTGTATCCTTATTTTACTCAGTTTGGAACTTGACCATGGTTATGTAGCTAGTAGATAGGTTTGGAATGAGGTCTCTGTGAGCCGAAGGCCGTGCTCATAGGTAGTGTCACTGGGAGCCAAAGGTAGCGAGCCTCCCATTGATTTTGCTGCATTTTGTGGATGGTCTTATTGTATTGGTAGGTTAAGGGTTAGAGTCTCCAAGGAAAGAATTCATTCTGAACAGGTTAAGGAGCACAGGAATCTGATAGAGACAGGCGACTTCAGAGTCTCCTCAGGAGAGCCAGACCCTGTGCTTGTGTGTGCATGTGGAGAGTTTGTGAACGCTCTTTCTATACACAAGGGTGGACTCCAGAGCTCTGCCCCGGCAGCCCAGGCAACAAGCCCCTCTGCCCGGCGTGTGTCAGCAGAAGGCTCTTCCCATCCTCTGTGCCTCTGTGCAATGCTCACTTCTGCCTCTGGGTTTCTGGGACAAGTGAGTCTCAGAACCTGGTCATTCATGACCTGGTTATGAGGAAGGTTGGAATGAGAGACAGTGAGCATGGGTCTCGTAGACTGAGACATTATCCAAAATTTTGGGAAGCCATTAGTGGTCGCCCAGTGTATCTTGTTTGCTAATTTGTAAATAGATTTTTCTCTTTTGGTAGTAACGTGAAAACAAAGCTTAATGAGTTTGAGTCCACATGACACGTTGTTAGTATATAAACTCACAGGTGACTCTGGTCCTCTGCTTTCATCTAGTACAACACTGACCCCTGACACAGCACAGGCAGGGGTGGACTTGTGCTTTTGCTTATGGTAGACCCTCGGGCCAGTTACTGTTGCCCTCTCTCTGTGTGTGTTTTCTCATCTAAGAATTCACAGAATTTTAATACCTAGTTAAGTGCTATTATTTTAATGTATTTTTAAAAAGTATTCTTGTAAGCCACTGTACGGAATGTGTGTACCTGGGTGCTTGGTGCAGGGTAACTGCTCAGCCGCATCACGTGTGCTGGACGCGCACACTTTCCCGCATCAGCCGCCTCACGTGTGCTGGACGCGCACACTTTCCCGCATCAGCCGTGTGCAGGCTGCTTCAGGGCGGGAGGAGCGAGGCCTCTCTCTCTCAGATAGAAGTGGCTGGAGAGATTGGCGGGGGAGCTCTGACCTTTTGAGATGGAAGTGTAATAATTGCTCTGAAGGGGAGAATATTTGGTTGTCACAGGATAACAACAGTTGTTGTTTCCTACAGGGATAGCATGTTTATTCACTCAGACAATCGCCATTAGGTGCTATTGGTTTGCATCAGTGTCCTAAGGACAAGCTGTGTGGACAATGATGTCCTGCTTTCTTGTGCGCGCCGGTGGCTGCCTGCATTCCCGTCTGTCTTTGCCCTGCCAGTCGGGGGTCTCTCTCTCTCAGTGGTACACATGGCTGTGTGCCGCGTAGAGCAGAGCAGTCACATCTGGTCCATGCGGAATGTCATTACCGTCCCTCTGCTGTGGCCTGGCTTTCACAGACTTCCTCCCTGCCTCTGTCAGTCCCTGCCAGGGATGGTAGAACAGTTGCCCGGGAAGGACTGGTGGCGTTTGGCACTCATTTCTACGCCCAGGGAGAGCAGAGAGAGAGCCGCACAGTTCTTGCTAATTACTTAGCAGCAGAGAAGAAAACATGGGCTGCCTGTGTCCTTGGAACAAAAGCGAGACTCTCAGAGGGCAGCAGTATGGTGGTGGGGGCTGGGAACACTGCCTCTGATGGACCGTCTTGCTTAAAGTGCATTATTTTGTCACAAAATAGCCCCTCGTGAAGCATTAGCTTTATTTAACCTTTTGGCTGCACTGAATAGGAGCACACTGTATGGAATTTCTAGAACAGTGTATTGGCTCTCAAGGAAACAGCTTTGGTTTGATTTTGTGCCATGAAACCACCAAAATAGGGCCAAAGTGCGTTGCTCTTCTCCATTCTTTTTCCATGTCTTTGACCTGTGATTTGCATCTTAACCCTCATTCAGGGGTCAGTCTCTGGAGAAATCTTGCATAGGTGTGAGGATGCCACGGTGTTACTACTCTTGATAGCTGCTTTTCAGGGTACGTTAAAGTGGAACTGGGAGGCTGGACAGTGCTGTAGGTGCCCCACTGCCCCCCTCACCCGAGGCCCAAGAGAGTAGGGCAGGTGCAGCCTACAGGGTATCGAGGGCCCCTGAGTAGCATGGGGTTGCTGGTGCCACTCTGAGCCAGGAAGGGGGGGCTAGGCTGGCCACAGGCTGTCACTCATTTGTAAGTGCATGCAGAGCGGCTGTGTGGTGGCCGGGTTCCTTCCCACATCTCCCCCAGTTCTCCTGCTTTCTAATCCCGCACTTTCTGGGGCAGCTTGCTTCTTGCTTCCTCCCGTTCTGTTTCCTTTTTTGCCATTTCTGTCTCTGCTTTCTTTAGTTTGGTAATTCTGCTTTTCTGTTTCCATTGCTGTTGGTTTAACCAAGTCAGAAGAACCTTTGGGTCTGCACAGTTTTCCCATCATGATGAGGGCTATGCAGACTGTCCCCTGCTGTCCTCCCCACTCACCTTTGGTGTTGTTTTGCTGGAGTACATGTTAATTTTTCTGTCTCTGGGGTGCAGACATCATGCTCTGGCTTCAAGCTAGGGGGCATCTCTCTGTGCCAGTGTTGTCTCCCTGTGGTGAAGCCCATGCTGTCCCCTCTGGTGAAGCCAGTGCTGTCCCCTCCGGTGAAGCCAGTGCTGTCCCCTCCAGTGAACCCAGTGCTGTCCCCTCCAGTGAACCTAGTGCTGTCCAGTGAAGCCAGTGCTGTCCCCTCTGGTGAAGCCAGTGATGTCCCCTCCAGTGAACCCAGTGATGTCCCCCTCTGGTGAAGCCAGTGCTGTCCCCCTCCGGGGAGCCCAGTGATGTCCCCTCCAGTGAAGCCAGTGCTGTCCCCTCCGGTGAAGCCAGTGATGTCCCCTCCAGTGAACCCGGTGATGTCCCCTCCAGTGAAGCCAGTGCTGTCCCCTCCAGTAAACCCAGTGCTGTCCCCTCCAGTGCACCCAGTGCTGTCCCCCTCCAGTGCACCCAGTGATGTCCCCTCCAGTG